GGCAGGATTTACGTCGGCCAAAAGCCAACATATGGATTTATGGTGCGCTCCAGGGGCATGGAGGCCCAATTTGCCCCTGAACAGTCTCTTTTTGATGCTAAGGGTTCAGCTGTCACCTCCATTGCGAAGTTCGTGCTTGGGCTCGGACCCTGCCGCGAGCCACGAACACGCTACCCTGACTCTCCAACTCAGCCCTCATTTAACCTCCAAGATGGAATCTGACAGGCTGAGCGCCCGGCGAGAAAAAGAATTAGCATTCCAACTTCGAAAGCAAGGAGCTGGTCCCAGGCCCATAGGACTTATCGCGCGCGGAGCTGGTTCACACTCCCGGAAAATTCTACCCTAGCCATGTCAGGCTATCCTCACATTTGAATGGCTAGTGCCGGTCTGATAGAAGGCCTAGTATATGCCAGGGTCCAATATCAAAGTCTGCTGTCACTGGGATGGCAGCGTAGTGCTTCCAAGGAAAGCTGCAGTTCTCGTTATCGTCACATTTCACTCTGTCGTCCCCAAACAAATGGGTGGGGGGGCTGCACCCAGTCGTACTCAGCCAACCACCGCAGTTTCGTGGTGCTGTCGATGGATCCAAAGGCAGGATAAAGCAAGATAACTACACTTTGGACCCGTGGTTCTCATCTAGGACATTTACCAAAGGTTGGCAGGCGCTTTAGCTAAGCAGTCTTAGCCGGTACGCCAATTCATCACGCAAGATAACGCAGATGATTTCCCAGCCCTACCTCGCCGATAGTTTGGATCTTCTTTACCCACGTTACCTTCGGTCAATCTGCGTTCCCTAGTATGGAGCACTACCTGGGGGCACCATTAAGGTCGCTCTTTGTTGGCGCCAGTTCAAGATTCTTGGCTCCTTCAAAGCCATTGTCCTTTCACCACAGGTTCGCTGTCAGGGCTTCAGGTCTTTCCTTCGTCATGCATTGTCAAGTAGACACTCTTTACGGAAAAGAAACACATTTGAGGGGGTACACCCTTGGGCGGCCTGTACAGTTGGCAAGACGGTATCCCGTTGACAGCTTCAGCAGTGGCTGGAGGGCATTGCGCATCAGATCACACCGATGACCAGTCACGGGGCGCTTGTAGGATTGTCATATCACGGTGCCTAAGCCAATCCTGGTTTGAACGTGTTTATGAAAGTACATCAGCCTCTGGCATGAATCCTTAAGTACACAGCATCCAAAGCGAACCGATGGTTGGTCTATGGGAGTACCCGCTCACTTCATCAGAGCAATCGTCTTCATCATCTCGAAATTAGGGAGACCCAGTCCCGTCACAGGATCCCAGCCCTGAGTTCCGTTCCACGTTGCAAAGGGAATGACGCCGGCGCCCTGCAACGGCTTTCCGGACTGCAAGTCCACACCGCCGCAGCCCTGCGCGACACCCGTGTTCACGTCCGTCAGGCCCCGGAATCCTCGCTTGTACAACCAGGGGTTCATGAAGCCCATCGTCGGCTGGCCGACGCGGATCCTAGCATCGTTGAGAAGGCCAACCAGGCCGGCAACCAGCGGGGCAGAGGCGGACGTTCCTCCCGTGCCGACGAGCCGGTTCGCGTTGACGATCGGAAACGGCGGGCTGGCGGAGTGGGCCGAAATATCGGGAAATCCACGACCGGTGAAGTTGGCGAACGGCTCGTAGTACTTCTTGGTCTCGGGAGAGATGCTCGTCGCCAGGTAGGAGTTCACCGCAGCCTCCTGGTACCACGCCTGCTTGAAGTAGTTGCTGAAGCCACTGCCAGAAGCGACCCACGTGATCTCGGGGCCGAACGCCTGCGTGCCTCCCACGGCGGTGATGTACGGGCAGGTGGCGGGGAAGGTCGGCGTGAACTGCGGAGCGTTGCTGCCGTCGTTGGCGCGGCATGGAGCGCCGACGCCAGTGTCACCGCTCGACTCGAGGACAGTCACACCGCGGAGGCCCATCATGCCAATGAGGTTGCACACGCGCGTGGCATACTCGATGGGCACCGTCTGCTCGTCGTCGCCGTACGAAACGGAGAGCACCTGCGGGATGGCAGCATTCTCCTGCGTCATCATGAACTGGTAAAAGTCCAAGAACGGCTCGTTCTGGTTGTCGGCCTGCGTCGGCGTGCGGAGGTTGGGGATCAAAGGCGGCTTGCCTCCGGTGATGAACTGGGTGATGGGGAGGTTCTTGACCGCGGCGGCCATCACCTGCGCGTCGAGGTTCGCCTCGCCGATCTGACCCTTGGGGTCCTGGTGGTCCTGGCCTCCGTTGACGAGCACGCTCTTGAAGCTCTGCGGCGGCAGCTGGAAGCGGGTCAGGAACGCCGTGAGGTCGTCCTGGCGCGCAGACTGGTTCAGGAAACTCGCAAAGCCGACGCGGCTGCCGGCGGCGGGGTCAGCTTGGTAGGCGCCATAGTTGTACGCCAGCTCAAAGCAGGCCGGGGTGAAGGCCTTGGAGCAGTTCGCCGTGGCTCCGGGCGGGTTCTGTCCCTGTCGACGAGCCAGCGGGGGAGGCATGGGCGGCATGGCACCGGCGGGCATCGGGGCCGCGAACGCGGGGTCCGACTTCATCTTTCCAAAGTACGTCGTGGGTGTCACGAGCTCAATGTGCTCCGCCATGGTGTCGGGGAGAGAGTACTGCTGCGTGCGCAGCTTCATCGTGCCCTGGACGTCGTAGTAGGCAAAGTTGGCTCCGAGGATCCTGTTCGCGGTCCCCACGTCCGTCGCGAAGTTGACGAAGCGGCCCCGGTCGGTGTACGAGACGTCCTTGACGTTCTCCTTGGCGAGCCACGCCTGCACAGCGGCGACGGACTGCTCTGCGGGCTTGAACATGTCGTTGACCTGCGCCGCCGAGAGGTACTTGCCGTAGTTGGGGCTGTCGGGGTCGGAGACGTCCTTGAGCATGGGCTCGAGCTTGTCGATGTTTTGCAGCTTCAGGCCGATCTGGAGGTTGATCTGCTCGCCTTCGGCAGCCATGTTGACCATCGAGACGCCCGAGACGAAGTTGGCTGCTCGAGACATGAGGCGGCCTTCGACTGCGAGGGCGGCGGCCGCCAGGGCCAGGAGGGCCTTGAGAGGAGCCATTCCGGCTGGCCTTTTCGTTGGATGGACTCGGGTAGGGGATGAGGATTATCGAGTCGTCGTTCGCGTCTCTCAGAGGGCCGAATTGGAAGATTATTCACAACTGGGACAATGGCCAACTACGACGAGGCACATGAAAGAGGCACGAAAACCAAAAGCAAGTCGACAAGAAGACGAGACGATTAGAAGTACGGATCACGAGTCGGAAGACAGTCGGCTCTACGGTTGTATCCGAACTACCAACCCCAGGCACAGTTTCTCCTTCTTACTCGGGGGGACAGCACTGCAACTGCTGTTTGCCTTCGATCCCAAGGCCCTACCGGGGCCAGGTGTACTGGTTCAGACAGTACATGTCGTAGAATCACGCTGCGCAGTAGGGCAGGTACAGCCCTTCCCGCGCAGGTTTTCGTCTGAAGGCGACCAACCGGCGGGATCAGACTTTAAGGTTACAAGATCCCAAACGTGCAAGCTGCACGTTTCGAGGCCTGGACCTTGCCCTCACGCAAATACAAATGTGGCCGCGGGATAGCCGACAGAGGAGAGAGGTATTTTCTGAGGGAGCGCAATGCAGGAACGCCAAACCTTATTTCCTTTTCGCGGAGTGCAGGAGCAGAGGAGATCGATCCCGCGCGTCCCACGGTTTGGTACGGCCACTTATCTGCCATCCATCGCCTTCCACAACCCACATTCCCAGGAAACTCAACGCTTGCATTGGCTGAAGATGGTCATATACTCGCTGGAAATTTAAGGTGTGAATCAGGTCAGTCTTAAAGTCTTTCGATAACCTGACTTGTCAATCACATCCGTGTCCACGACCACTCGATTACGTCTCCTCTGCAGGTTGACGCGGTTAATCTTTCGCCATGCCTTAGGTTTCCTTCCTGTCGTTCATTCGTGTCCTTGGCACCGGTGGCTTGGTGTTCTCTGGTTCGACAAGGGGGAAAGCGAAATACCGGACGCCGGATTTGAATGCCTAAGATGCCCGGAATAGCCTCCGTCGCCCGCATTATGGAGAAACAAGACATGAAGCCGCATCGCTTGGCAAATCTTGCTGCGAAAGCTTGATCGTCGCAGTGGGAGAAACACTCCGCCAATCTGCGCGGGGCGACCCTCCCCTGGAAGAAAAAGCCAAGAGAACATGCAAACAAGCAATTGAGCCGCGCTACTAGCGCCGTAGATCCAACCAACAGCCACTGCCGGCCGAGTGCTCTTTTCTCTCTTCGCAGGAGATGACCGCTCGACGGCCCCTTCGCCTCCCGAGAAATGATTTGGATTTGATGGCCCCGGCAGGCGAGGGTCCCGGGGGGGGGGAAGCCACCAGGTGCCCGTGAACGGATGGTGCCTGGGAGTTTCCGACCACAGGCGGCCTTCCTCACCCCCCCTTATTTTCTTGGCAAGATGTGTAAATTTGTTTCTGCGCCGGGCGGGCCTTTTGGGCAGAGCAAACGGGATGGCATGGTCACAGCGGCCTCTGCATTGTTTAGGTTCCGAATCCGAGCCGCACTCCGGTCTGGCGCCAGACCCCTTTCGGTGCTGGAGAGACCAAGTGGCTGACCACTACGGAGGCGGGACGGCCCAGGAGCTTCTCCCGTTGGATCGTTGGTCTGGATCATTCGTCAACAACATGATGGAGCGTAATGGGCCGGAGCCGCATCCCAGAGAGACACATCACCACTGCTAGTGGTTTTTTTTTTGTTTCCGTGCAGAGTTTATCTGATTATTTCCTACATAATACCTAGTCATACAAAAGAGCACGAAACGCCTGACTTGAGCACGGGGAGGGAGAATCCGTCCCATCTTGGACAACATGAGGCGGTGGTAAAACACGAAGCAAAGTTGTTCCGACCGGCGCGCACCACAACTCTGATGAACACCCACCCACAACCGACGGCAGGAAAACGTGACTTTCGTTGAACATATGAGACTGAGAGAGACCAAGGCCGGTCGTTTCTACGATAAACCGTCTGTGCGCTTCGATATTGTTGCTGTGGCGATGAATTCGAACTGGTTGACAGGAGGGACGAATGGAGCCAATGGAGGTACCGGATGGTTGTTTGGAATTTTGACCTCGACCATGGCTTTGCGACCGTCGTATGGAAATTGAAAGAATCTGGTTGGTCTATTGTTAGCACCATATTCATCCAAGTGAGTTGCGCAGAGAGTTTGCCGCCCGGCCCCTTACCTGGAGTCTTTGTACAAGTGGCTCACAGATATCATGAAATTTGAGGCTGAACGGAACTCGACGACCTTGAACGAGAAGAGGTTCGTTGGTGACGTCCAGCAGAATGCTCCATTGATGGGGAAATCGTTGTTTGGGCCGTTGTCAGGGGTTATCCCGTCCCACGGCCAAGTTGCATTACAGTGAGCGCCGTTGACATCGACGACGCCTTCTGTGTTGTAATCGTAAAAGTCGACTGGCATTGCCATGTTAACGAGGCACAACTATGATGTTGAATTGAGACTTACAATCGAGTGTACAGTTATACATATCTGAGGTCTCTGTCTTTTGGCAGACGGTGGCCAGGTTGCTCAGTGTCATGTTCAACCACGGATATCTGAACCGGCTGGCCTCTTGGTGGATCTTCTCGTCGTCTTCCAACGCCGTCGGCAGGGAGGCTACGAGAGGTATAACAGACAGCATGGATATGAAGAAGAGAGACTTCATCGTGATTAGCGTTGTGATGGCTGAGACAGTGTTGATGTTGTAAACAGAGACTAAACCTCTCAATGTGTATGGTGAGGATCTCGGCTTTACTCGTTAAATTTGACTCAAATATCGTCAAGTTATGGCCTTCAAGATTGAGCTTAGGCCATTATTTATAGTTATAGATTCGATGACAGCGCATTCTATGCAGTCTTCCCCGTCGCCGCAACCGAATGTCGTCGTAGACCGCCTCGGACTGCAAAGCCATTGGAGCAACGGCGTCATGTACCCGGCCGACGATATGCCCAACGCGGGCCGGTGCGAGAAGCCGTCGTTGTGCGCGGCTACAGGCAAACCCCGTTCGTCACAAATACGATATTCAACCGCCTTTCGAGGGAAGGCTGGATGTAGTGCCAGCCAGTCACCGGAACGGAAGAGCCGAAATCAGGACGAGGGTACCTGCCGAGAGGTTGCCCGTGTTCCCCGGAGATTGTTGTCACACCGAGGATCATGGCCTTCAGGTTACCAAGAAGATGGAGAGAGGGCCCAGCGACTGTGGCGCAGATTGACAAGATGCTCAGTCTTGACCACTGGTGATGTGCCCGATCACGGTCTAGAGTCCCTTCGCCCAGATCATTCGCTGAAGGTGTCGAAACGAGGCGAGGTTGCTTGGCGGACAACAGGTCAGGCAACTGGAACAAAGTGAAACTCGTGATCAAGATTAACGCTTGGGTTGCAGCAAGAGCTTGTCGTTGAACTTCCTATTAGTGACTCGCAGTGAACGGTCGTGTAAGTCGGCCCGCGGGCGACCAGAATACCGATCCTGAAAGAGCCAAGTATGTCTGCACAAGTCATACCCATGCGGATGGCCAATCTCCTGCACATAGTAGGAGAACATGGCCCAATCAGGGTGGCGTGTGAGTTACTGCAGATAGGGCGGCTAGGCACAGATGATTCGTTTTCCCGTGCAACCAGCCCGGAAAGTTGCTTTCAGACGCTGCCTGTGGCACCATTTCGGTGGCGGAATGGTTGCCGGACGAGCTTTGTTTGCTTGAGCAGGTTGATTCTCGGTCTTCTTCGAACCAGAATGCATGGAACATCGGCTCCCAGCAAGAAGCATACCCAGCCCCCTGGAATGCTTCGCGTAGCATTATCAATGCAGCCATCCAGGCCGCGATGCTGCGCATTGAGTCCAAAAGGGCTCTCGGTTTGTCCAGAAATGGTCATGTGTGTCAGAAAGTGGTATTCTCGCAGAGCCTCGACACGTTGTTGTCCAAAGGATTACTGAGGGGCTTCTTTGCGACTACATACAAGCGATATCTCAGCCTGTTTCCTAAGATCGCTTGAATGTTCCGTTTCAGGCAGCATAGACTATATGCCGGCGGTGAAGAATTCTCGCAGCGAGCCAATCAGTCGAGCCGGCCTCGCGATGATGTGCGTGTCGTCGATCTCCGAGGTGAAGCCGTCGTACTGCTCGAGGAGTCACAGCTTCATTGACCGACTGAACGCCAAACACTGCTCTTGTCAACGTGATATCAACTTTGAGGATGAAGATATTTGTGAAAGCGGCAAACATGCACACCGCTTCTTGGCTGCGAGTCATCAAGACCGAGCCTGAGTCCCTCATCAAAGCATCGACGAGCTCCTTCCATGCGCTGACCGGCTTCGTGTGACATGCAGTTGCTCAGAGCCGAGAGTGAAGGGGTCAGGCAGTGTCGCCAAACACGGCGTGGCTAGCATGAGTTTTGAGTCCAGGGTCGTCGCCACGAGGTCTCGTCGTGTCGGACGGCAGCATTTGGCTCAGCGGACCATCTTCATCGGGAAGGGCCGTGGCAGGCAAACAAGGAACTCCTGTAACGGATAGAACAGTATACTGAGGGCAAAACATTAATCGAACGACGGGCTCTCGCCTTGAACACGAGCCCCAGGGGTCAGCCGCCGCAATCATTGGCAAGACTGGACAACACAAAGGGGCTGGATGAGCAGGAAAGTGGTAAACTTGCGAGGGTGATTGCATGATTATACCAGGCCAGCCAAGACTAGTTGGTAGTGATCGATGATGTCGTACGCAGATATCTCTGCAATCTTGTCGATTGTTAGCGGTTCGAGGATGGTCAAGATATGACTGACTGAGTGTCGTTGAGGTTGATGCCATGGTGCGAAAGCACCAGGGAACAGGAGAGCGGAAAGGTATATCCTTGGCTCGTACACCGGAATTGCAGAAGTCAAGTTCACGGAAGGAACTGAGATGGGCATTTGGGAAGGTATGTCTCTTGCCGTTGCTGCTGCCACTTCTATCCCGCCATCGTCTCGAGTCTGGATTTCCAAGTCGCTACTCCATCCGTCGTTCAGTAATGAATTCCTACTCAATACTTTGCCTCTACTACCATCATCTTCACACGTCAATCTCCATCTTAACTTCGGTGAAACTATCAAACTCTGTACTGAAATGTTGTTGAATCTGATTGCAGCGCATACGGGGAAATCCCAAATCAGCGCTGTTTTCGGTGGCAGCACGGCTCATAGGAAGAAGAAGACGTTCTCTTTCTCGAGCTCTACGTTGACCAATCTATGGGTCCTCTACAAGAATTTCCTGTTTTTCCTGTGCTAGAGCGACTCCTTTTCCTGTGATATCGTACTCTACTTTATCATGGTCGTCGCTACCATTATCGTTATCGCTACTCCATCGTCTGTATCTTTGTTACCGTCGTCCTTACTACTACTATTATAACTTCTACTTCTATACTTAATAGGAGTAATTAACTACACAGAAAATATAGCCGTACACACACAGGAAATTTGGGCGTTCTCCGCTACAATCGCATCACCGGACTATAATGGCAACGCCGGACACTAGACAAAACGCCCTACAGGCTAAAGCCCGACAAACATCTACGTCGGCAGTCCCAACCCATTTGTCGGGGGTACATCGACATGGTGGGCAGACACAAGGTCCCAGGACGGAAATGCCGTCGTTTGCCGGAGCTGGAAGCCGCGGGTCACGGACGGGACGGGACGGCAAGGCAAAAACGGAGCAGGAAAACCACAGGAACATGGCCGGCATCTCCGAACGCTCGGGCTCCGTCCCGTTCAGATACGACGCGCCGGTGGCGGTGCCGCCCTGCAGGTGGATCGCGAAGGGGAATCTGCTTCGTTCGGTTCAGCCTTAATGCCAGCATCTCTTCTTCCTTGCACGTGTACAATCTCGGGGGCTTCTATTTCCGCTCCGGGCCGGGTCATTTTAGGCTTTAGCACAGCGTTTTAAGGGCAGTCGTTGTGCGTAAAGTAAGGTAGGTAATATCAACATTCGGACTGTGTTCCGCGTCTAGTGATTTTTGGGGGCCGCATGTGGTTGTATCGGACCCGTTGACCGCGGATTCGATGTCCGACCAAGTCGCGCTATGCACGGGCGAGATCTCGTGTGTTTTTGGAAGGTGTGTGTGTAAGTGTTCTAGAACAGGTCTCGTCTGCATGTCAAGTTCCAATATATTGACGCAGAAGAAGTCTGGAACCGCGAGCTCAGCCATGACAGCGAGTGTTGGATTCGGCCCAATGCCAGGTCTGGCGTGGGATGATGCATCGGCATTCAGATTTGCCCGTCGAAACAAGATGACCTTGACGCAGGACGTCGATCATGTCGCTCGTCATGTGAGGCACCATGCCTGCGTATCTCTGCCAGATTGGCAGCAGGTCTTGACTCGACGTCATTCAAAGGGTCGGGCTCAAGAGATGTCCAACTCGCGCGTCTGTTCCAAGAACTCCTGCCAGGATTTCGCTTTGCATGGCAAGAGGTTGGACGGCGGGCATGGTTCTCTCTGCCACTCTGTTGGTGTGCAGTGCAGTGCAGGTGAGATCTGCGGCAGGCAGTTGGACGGGATCCCTGAGTTCTTAGGTGAGCTGAGTCCGAGCTAACGCCGGATTGGGATTAGTGGTCTTGTGGAGAGATCCCGACATCCCACTGGGAAAGAAAGAAATGGGAATTTGGGAAAGCCCCTTTTTTCTTGCGCTATTAATAGACATTCGCCTGAAAACTAAGTTTTCTGGACGGAGCACGAACGAAGAAAAGGGTCCTCTGCTTCTGGTTTGGATGATAGATCCCTGTCGATACCACAGCCTTACTCGGAACGCCGCCTGTCTGCCGGCCGCAATGAGCTCGAGCGCTCCTCTGGTGAGGACGGGAGTTGCAGTCTGTATCGGGGACGAATGTTGACAGCAGAGTATACTCCGTACATGCCACTGCAATCAAGTCCTAACGAACAACGTTGTATTCTACCCGCAGACATGGAGCGCCAACCACCTGGAACTCGGTTAGAAAGTTTCGCGAGGTTCCAAGAGGTCCTAGAGCAACATGTAAAGAGGGCGGTGAGCTTGTTGCTAAAGACGGGTTCCAACTTCACACACAGTCATGACCCGACTGGCTGGGAAGGGGTCATGACTCATTTCAAATGACCACGAAGCTCGTAGTTTTAATATCGTAGCTCGTCAACTCGAATAATCAATTTGATGAGCTTACTGGTGGCCCGAAGTCTTGGTATTCTCCTTCCGGGAAGTGGGTTGTTAGTAGCTCTTTTCCCTCAAAAGAGAGTGACTCCACTTGAGCTCTCGGCCGAGATTTGTGATTGCAAAGTCGACAGCTGTCCGACGGGGTTGTACGTATGAAGATTGGCCTTTATATTGCAGTGAAATGGGGTGCGGATCGGAGGTTCAAACGATTCATGATACACCCTGGCTTACACCCTGGGCAGCTCAGAGAAACGGCGCACCAACGTAGCCGCATGAACAGAGTTGCGACGAGAATCTGTGATTAAGCATCTTGAGACGATATAAGAGTTGTCAAGTATGGGCTGCAAGGAGACACATCATGCCAACTCATGCACACCAGATACGACGTGTGGTGTTGCTGTGGGATTTCGCGTCCTTGAGGCCGCGAGCTGTGCTGTGCGAGGCATCACCGAGAATGGCACAGCGACGGGGTACACCGTAAGGTGGGAGATGATTGGACGGGTTCAGTCCATGTAAAG